TTCGGTGAGCTCACCGGAAGCACTTTTTCATCAAAACAAGATGGCGGCGCCCAGCGCTTCCAGTGAGCTTTTCCGGGTAGAAATGGCTTGATGGGCACCGCCATCTTGTTTTGATGAAAAAGTGCTTCCGGTGAGCTTTCTACCCGGAAAAGCTCACCGGAAGCACTTTTTCATCAAAACAAGATGGCTGTGCCCAGCAAGCCAGCGGCCCGGTAGGACTTGTTCCACGGACTGGTACCGGTCCGCGGACCGGTGCTTGGGGACCCCTGCTCTAAACTGCTCACAAATTAACATGGTTTATTATAAATTGAATAGCTCTCAACATTTTAATATTTTGCAATATACTCCTAAAACCATAGGAGTTTTTTATAACTTTCCTTGAGTCTTTTGCTGGAAGGTTGCCAAGGGCATCTTCAGAAGAGCTGATAGTATCGCTGGAGGGACCAAATTTGGGGGCTCTTTCTTCCTAGTTGATACTTATGAAGTGGGTCGTCTGTGTGTCCCCAATTTAGGACATGGATGAGGAGATTGAAGCAGAGTATAACATCTTACAGTTTCTTCCTAATCATCCCAACGTGGTTAAATTTTATGGAATGTTTCACAAGGCAGATCGGTATGTGGGTGGACAGCTCTGGCTTGTTCTTGAGGTAAGACATTTTGTATTGCTAAATCGTAAGGAGAAGTGTGCTGTGGAAAAAAGACTGGTGCATGTTTGTTGTGATAGGGAGAGTTATGGTCCTTCACTGCATCACAAAGGGGCTTTGTTTAGAAGGAAAGAACCACAATGCAGCACCGTTCTCTCCAAGGCCTTGGATGTGACCTCCCAAGTTGTCCCAGCATTGGCTGTTAGACTAACTCTTTTAACATGAATGAATGGCAGATTCATTAAATGCAGGTAGTCCTTGATTTACGACCACAACTGAGCCCGTGTATTTCTTTTCAACACTATTGTAATTCAAATGGTTACTAAATGAACTAAGTTGAGGACTACCTATACAAGAAGGGCAGTAATTATATTGGCTGCAAATCATTTGTAAAATAAGTTAAATCAAACTTTGTTTCTATCATGGCCCTGTCCATCTGCACTAAATAAGACCTGCTGAGTTCTTCCTGCAGAAATGGTTCTTTTGTAGTATAATTGAATCTTTCAATAAACACATAAAGCAATTAATCTCAAATGGCATTGCGTTGGGGACACATTCATGCAGAAAATTCTGAATGAAGCTGGATTATTTCTCCTCAGAGTTTGGAAATGATATTTGTGGCTCACATGTAGGCAACACTGTAAGAGTGTTATTGGGTTAAAAAAAAATCAAAGTAGGGTACAGTTTGAAGGATAAAGCTGAGTAACTAGGATTTCTTCTTTTTCAAGTTCTAGACTTTTTCTCATCACTAGCCCACAACCTCTTTTTGCCATGTCTTGTTAACATTGCTTCTCTTTCATCCCTAGCCCTCAACTGAGGCATCTTACATTTAGTTGTTCTGGTTTTAAAGAAATGCTTTTCCTCTTCTCCTAATACCGTTTTCATCCTGAATACAATCTGGCATGCTTCACTGACCATGTGATGGCTGAGATAATTAGCAGTTGGGGTATGCCTAACAACTGAGGTTGTTGCAGATATATTCTCTCCCATGTGATTGCTTTGCGTTGCTTTCCATGTTCAATTTGACCTGGGTTGTAGAAAAGATTGGCTACCTGGCAGCTGCAGAAGCATCTACCTGTGGAAGAGCTGACAGAGTATTGCCAAGTTTTTTTCATTCCTCCAACAAATATGGTACGCTCCTTGATTTGTTCCATCTTTGTTGTCTTTCCCTGACAATTCAGGGTGGTCAAGATGGAGCAAATCTCTATAGTTTGCATTTTAGCAGCTGAATGTAATCCTGAAAACTAAAATCTGGACTTGCAGAAGAAGAAATGGCAGGCTGAAGATGGCTCCAAAAATGTGGAATCAATTACCATGGTGGAATGAAGACTCAGTGAGTAGACCAGCTTTCAAAACCTCTCTGGACAAGGAGAGGACTTGAGACCCACGTGTTGCAGACAGCCGCTTCTTGCTTGGAGACCTCAAGATAGTCTCAGGTTTAGAGCTCTGGGACATGAGGAAATAGCCACCTTGCTCAAATCATGATTGGCATCTTTGAAAGGACAATAGGTTTGCTTACTTCCCTAACTAATCACTTTTGGGGAAATTGCTTGTTAACAGCGTTTTACCTATCAGAAACATAGGTAAACAATTTTGGAATAAACAGCAAAAAAGTGATCAAATCTTTCATTTTTAGTAGTTACAAATGGACTAAGGGTCCGTATAAATTAATTATAAAGTATCCTTCCAAAGGGAAAATGCTTTTTTTATTTTTTTGAAAAAAAACCCTACACTCATAAGATGACATTTTAAAAATTGTACATTAGCAAGAACAATTAAAGGAGAAGAACACTAACTTGATTTATAATTATAGAATGAAACAAAATATTCTAACATAGGACATATTAAATATTTTTTTAAAAAAAATGGAGTGAGAAATTAATATTAATATTGTCAATAGAGACACCTGCCCCAATGGACAGATTGTGTTTAAAATATGTTATGAAAGAAAAACAAATTAACCTAACAAGATTGAGACTTAACAGAAAGTAAGTTTACAAGTGACAGATATAAGAATGATATGGAAAAAGATATTATACTAGATACATAAATCCAAATGATTTTAATAATTGAAAAGGATATACAGAGAAGACAGTGATCTGAATAATTTTCTTATGTTGGATTTATAAAAGAGGCTTGTTAAAATTGTGAAGAATCTCATGAGAATGGACAAAGAAAAAATGAAAAAAAATCAAGTTATATGACATTATATGACTACAGTAGAGTAGAGTAGACTAAAGATTAAGATTGTTAGAAGTAAAAGCAGGAATACAATATTGGTTTATTTGATCAAGGTTTAAAATGTTGTTATCTCTGGTAACCCTTAATGGACTTTTGGTGACAAAAGGATTGATATGATCATGCTTTATGGATTTGCCTATAGGTAAGAGATGGGTATGGGTAGAAGATATCATTTCCTGTAATTTTAAGGGGAGATGATAAGTTACTAAAGGTGGGAAATCACTTTTTAATGTATTTCTTTTCTTTTTCTTTACTACCTCTTTACTTTTTTATTGTATTTCTCTTTATATCTTTTCTGAACCTTCTATTTTTTCTTTTTTTTTCTGTCTTTTTTTAGTTTATATTAGTTTTTGGTATTATAATCTTTAATAATAATTTTATTAAAAATACTAAAATCTCCTCATTTCTAATTTAGACTGTAAAGGGGAAAGTGAATCTTCTAACTGCATTTTTAAAAATCTCAGTTGGCTTTGAAAATGAAACAAACAGAAAATTGTGTGTTGCATTGTCTTCTGAACATTTCAGAAGGCAAAAGTAATTGGGCCCTGTTGGAGAATCAGATGTAAAAAGTTAGCATAACTATCCTTGTTGAATAGTCTGTATATCAGGATTTACATAGTGTTATCTGTGGGCAGCAAGTATTGTTTTTCCCCCTTGTATTCCTTGTAGATGAAGTTTTCATTGCTCTTTCATGAAACCATATATTCTTTCCAATGTGAATTTAATAAGATGAACCTATATGGGCACAGATAAAATTGCACTGTAAATGTCCTTAATTGTCCCCAGGGAATCATAATTCTGCCAGGATTATAAATCACCAGCAATATTTTCCACGCTCCTGGCTTTTTTAAACACCTGGATCCATCATAACTGAAGGCCTATTACCTAAACCAGACTGCTGCAACATTATGCCCTTGAGAAAAAGTTGGACTGAAATTGCCATCTCTTTTTGGCCAGCAGTGCCAGTCATAATCTAACTGGGGTTGGCAGAGAATGCATTTCAACACATCTGGAAGAAACCAGGATGGTGAAAGCTCATATAATCATTAAGTGCTCCTCAACTGAATTCCTAGAATTCTATGTATTTCAGTTAGGAGAACAAACCCAAACTAGATAGAAGTCAGAAGAAAACGTCCCTCAAACTGGGTCAGTTAAGAAGTGCACCTCTTTTTGCTACTCCCTTCTCCTGAGTAGCTCTTTTCATTGTGTATGCCTGGAATTTCCTGCTTGTCTTCCTTCCAATAATAACCATTTATTGTTTTTTGGGGTGACCCAAAGCTGACTGTTATCAACTGCTATGGAAAAAAAGCAAACACTGGAGGTAATAAGTGAAAATAATTTATCTTCTAGTTACAAATAAAACGAGCCACAGTAGCATTATACTAATTTTAAAAAGCAGCAGCCATAATAAAAATGAAGTTCATAACTGTGATAATATTAAATAACACAGACCTGACATACTCATCCAAAGGCCACAATTACATATTTGTGTCAATATGTCTGAGGCAGGTATGTAAATCATGGTCTTTGCCTGATTATGTCATCATGCACATATCAACCCTTGTCCAAACTTGATTCTATATTGAACTCTATTCCAGTGACATAATTCCACCTTTTGTAGATCATTTTGACCCCTCCCCTTCTCTGACTTCTATTGTATTTATTATGCTATGCTTGTCCTTCCCCAAATTTGTATATATGAGTCAATCTCTGAAGTATAGCTAAATATCTTTTGTCCTGCTGTGAAGAAATGTTTTGTCATACCCCTGGTGGAGACTGACTCTGAGGGAGAGGAGAAACAGCCAACAGGGAGTGGAAGGGTGGCTCCAGAGGTTGTGGAGGAGGCTGGAGAAGGGCAGAGGCCAGCTGAGCAGGCAGAGGAGGACCCAGGCCCATCCCCTATCCATCCTAGAGCACGGAGGGAGGAGAGGATAAAGGGAAGACATAATCTACTTGGGAGGAGAGGGCCTTGATCCTCTTCATGAGATATAGGTATTAGAACTGCATAAGAGTTTGGACCTGCGTGCTAGCAAACGCTGGAAACAAAGAGTGTTTTATTTCTGGATGAGGTTTATCTTGGTGTTCTTCCAACGGACTAAACCTGGTTATCTTCTTGAAGTTTGTAATTAATTATCCTGGTCTGTCGTGGAACTTTCTTCAGTGTGGTTTGTTTTTGGTTTTTTATTGCTTCGTTATCTGCTCTTTGAGTTTGGACTGTATTTCTTTCGTTTGGAATGTTATTTTGGAAAGAGTTTAATCTCCAACTGCGAACAATTGAACAGTGAAGCCAAGTTGAAGGCATTAAAGGACTTTTAGTTACGTTTTGGTTTTTGTTACATTTGTGGTACACTCCGGGTGTTCCTTCTTTTAGAACAGGCAACTGTCATGGTCTAAAATCAAGATAGCTACAGTCCTTGACTTACAACAGTTCATTTAGTGACCATTCAAAGTTATAGCAGCACTGAAAAATGTGACTTATGACTGTTTTTCACCTTATGACCATTGCATCATCCCCATGGTCACATGATCAAAATTCAGATACTTGGCAACTGACTCATATTTGTGACGGTTGCAGAGTCCCAAGGTCTTGGGATCATCTTTTGTAACCTTCTGAAAACCAAGGTCAATGGGGAAGCCAGATTCACTTAACAACCGGGTTACTAACTTGTCAACTGCAGTGATTCTCTTAACAACTGGCAAGAAAGGTTGTAAAATGGGGCAAAACTCACTGAACAAATGTCTCAGCAACAGAAATTGTGGTCTCAGTTGTGGTCTTAATTCAAGGACTACCTGTATTGTTCTGGTGCTTAGGGGATGCATGTAGCGTTTCAGAGGGAAAAGGACTTCAGTAGACTTAACAATAATACAAAGGGCTGGGTCGTGATCAGGCGTGGGATTCTACCAGTTTGCACCTATTCGCTAGAACCGGTTGTTAACATTCTAAGCAGTTCCCAGAACTGGTTGTTAGAAGAAATTACTGGCCTAATCCTGTAAGGAAGGAAGGAAGGAAACGTTCTGGTGTTGCTTACAGAAACTGCCTCTCCATTAACGCTTATTACATTCTTGGCAGGACTAGACTTCCTGTCTCAAGAACGTCTCTGGAGTTTTTTCCCCCTTCTTTGCTGGTACTTTGAGTGACCATTCAAAGTTACAATGGCACTGAAAAAAATGACTTATGACCATTTTTCACACTTACGACTGTTGCAACATCCCCACAGTCATGAGAGGCCAGGCGAGGAGATGCGTGGCTTGATGCGAGTGATATTGAGTTGGCCACGCCCAGCCAGTCACATTACTACCAAGCCACACCCACCAACTAAGCCACGCCCACAGAACCGGTTGCTAAAAATATTGAATCCCATCCCTGGTCGTGATCATTTTTGCTTTTTCTTGAGAATGGGCTTGAAATGGATATATGATATATAACTTTTTCTGTAAAAAAAGGACATAGGATATCTTGTGGAGTTCACCTGCTCTAGTCTCTAAGCCCAGGGTCTTCAAACTTGAGAGCTTTAAGACTTGTGGAGTTCAACTCCCAGAATTCCTCCTCCAGTCATGTTAGCTGAGGAATCCTGGGAGTTGAAGTCCATAAGTCTTAAACTTGCCAAGTTTGAAGACCCTTGTTCTAAGCCAGTGGTGGCAAACCTTTTTCAGCTCCCGTGCCAATAATTGTGCTCGCGCTCGCATGCCAGCACCCCGAAGGCAATGAGTGCAGGGCCCGCCCACCCCCCTGCATGTGCATGTGCGATCACCCCTGCAGCGCGCTGCACGTCTGCTCATGCGCCTGCGATCCTCTTGCTGCACACCACGCATCGGCACCTGCGTGCGCAATTCCCCTGCCACCGCCATGCATCTCTGCACCTGCAGTGCAATTCCACCGCTGCGTGCCATGCACCTACGCATTTGTGCACATTCACCCCTCCATGCACCATGCATCTGTGCATGCATGCGCTATCCCCTTGCAGCATGCCATGTGTCTGTGCGTGCATGTGTGATCCTCCCGTGCCATCCATCTGTGCATGTGCGTGCACCCCCCAGTGTACACTGCGCGTCTCTGCGCACCCCTGCCCCCCGTACATGCACACCAGATACCCGACAATCAGCTGTTGGGCGGTGGTGGCATGCGCACATGCGCAGTGGGGCTCTTCCAGGAGAGCTCTCACATGCCAGGGGAAATGGCTCTGCGTGCCACTTCCATGTCATAAGTTTGCCATCATGGCTCTAAGCAACTGAACAATTAATCAATGGAACAACTTGCCTCCAGATGTTGTAAATGCTCCAACCCTGGAAGTTTTAAAAAAAGATGTTGGATAACCATTTGTCTGAAGTGATGTAGGGTTTCCTGCCTAGGCAGGGGGTTGGACTAGAAGACCTCCAAGGTCCCTTCCAACTCTGTTATTCTATTCAATACAAAAGTCCATAAATCTTGGTAAGTGATTCTATTTTATACAGAAACGAACATCACAAGCAATACTTGTCCATTTCAGCAGATGCCCTTGTATGGTGCCTGGCAAGATGATATGCCAAGAAATAAGCTTTGCTGCCACACGCCAGGTCACTGGTGTTCCCTCAAGCACAAGCTTTTATGAACTGCCTTGTTCACAGCCAAATGTGTGATTAAGTCAAGGTAGTTAAAAGGATTTAAACCAATTTGTTCTCCAGAATGAATATTACAATCTACATCAAAAGGTTACACGGTATCCTCCATCAAACATAAACGTTGTAATGAAGCCAGTAGTAAATAGACCCTCGGAGGCGTTTTGAGGTAATGTATTGGATGTTTTAAGTCAGCACCTACATTGAATATCCTAAAGGTGTGCTTCTTCAAGAGGCAACTGGACTTTCTGGTTTTCTTTGAAGACATTTCGCTTCTCATCCAAGAAGCTTCTTCAGCTCTTCAGCTTCTTGGATGAGAAACAAAACATCTTTAAAGAAAAACAAGGAAGTCCAATTGTCTCTTCAAAAAACCCTCTTTGGGATAACCATGATCGGGATGACGGAGAATCTCCCTAGAAATCTCCCTACATTGAATCTGGCCCCTGGCCCCTTTTACAGGCTCAAGAAGCCCATCAAGTGGAGAGAAGTGGAGTGTGTACTCCTGGCTTAGGACATTAGCACTTTCTAGTATGCTTCTAGTGAATAAAATGCAGAAAAAGAAATAGATTGTGGATAAACATATCACTGTGGGAGTAACATGGGTAATTAATGATACAGAAAAGTACATTTAGAAAGATTTTACTCTCTCTTTCCCCCCTTTCTGTTCCATTAAATACATGGCATGCAAGTAAGGTGAACATGTTTACAAAGGCTGCATTTTCTGGATCTGAAAGTTTCTTTCTTAGCTGTTGGCAGAACAGACATCAAGGCTGAGCTTAGAGAGATATGCATGTTGTCTATTTTATGCTGCCTGCTAACAGCAGCGTTGATAGAGTGAACATTTGAAATGACTGTAATTTGCTGCTTCCCAGTTATCAAACGCATCACGTATAGAACAGAAAAAAAACAACAGAGAACTCCTTTGTGCTTTCTTTCACATCAAAAGAGTTTGAAAAACATAGGTTCATAAAGACAATGCTGATTATTGGGACTGTACAGATCACTGGACAGACTGTACAGATTAAAAACAACAGGTTTTTAAACCGTTGAAAATAAAGAGCAACTATTAAAAAAACATCCTGAATTAATTTTGGAAAGTTCAGCTCAGGGAAAGTAGCATTAGTTTTACCAATAGCACTTACATACTACTTCATAGTACACTCTCTGAGCAGTTTGCAGAATCATCTTATTGCCCCCGACAATCTGAATCCTCATTTTACTGACCTCAGAAGGATGGAAGGCTGAGTCAACCTTGAGCTTCTCAGAATCAAACTCCTGGTGCGTGGGCAGAGTCAGCCTGCCTTCTAACCACTGTGCCACCACATATTGGCCACTAGTAAATAGAGGAAAACTAAGAAAAATCTTTGCTTATGTCCTTACAGCCATATGAGTTAGGGTAGACAATACTGAACTAGATGGGCTTACTCTACTATAGTCCTATGTTTCCCATAGGATTATGGGAATTGCCTATGTTTTTATTTCTTTTACTTTAGATTCAGGCCTCTCAGCAGATCACAACAAAATCCACTAATCCAAGGTTGTTTCAAACTTGAGAGCTTTAAGACTTGTGGACTTCAACTCCCAGAATTCCTCCTCCAGACATGTTAGCTCAGGAATTCTGGGAGCTGAAGTCCACAAGTCTTAAACTTGCCAAGTTTGAAAATCCTTGCATTAATCCAAGATAACTGCAAAGGAATGGAAAATTTTTGAAATATAAGTAGGAATATATTTAGTTAGAAAACCTTATGAGAGAATTCTACTAATTGCCTTATATCCTTATAGCTTATTGGAGCTTCTGCATTAAGAGTCAGTTTTGAATTGTGATGACTGGGCAAGGCCTAGAACTGCCCTTCTTTGGTCACTGGCACAGCCTCCCTAGCTTTCAGTAGAATAATGGAAATTGTAGTCTAATATATCTAACATACCTTGAAGCCACCAGTTTGGAGAAAACTTACCTAAAAGTAAACACAGGTTTAATTGTTCTTCTTGTCCATGCAAGAAAATGTAATTAGCACATTTGTATGCCTTCACAATAAAGATGTCATGCTGGAAATCCAAAGTGTCTAGATCATGGCTATTATTTGTAAATAGCTGCTTGTGAACATTTGTGATGACTGATTTCTTTTACTGTGTTTTCTGTGCATGTAGTTGCCCATCTATAGGGATTATGATCTAAGCATGCTTGTTGAGTAACGGATGCCTTGTTTCATTTCCCTTGTTCCTCTCCTGTCCCCTTAACAGCTGTGTAATGGAGGCTCGGTCACTGAACTTGTCAAAGGCCTACTGAAGAGTGGCCAAAAGTTGGATGAAGCAATAATCTCATACATTTTAAGAGGTGCCCTTCTGGTAAGGATAGCCATTTTGCTTCTAATGACAAAATAGGATGCAATTTAGCCATTCTGATACACTGTCCAGGTAAAAGGGAGAACATTGTTGTCTGTTTACTGCAGCTGGTGATTGTATTGAGACTGTGATATAGTAGGCAGAAGTTCCTACAGTGCAGGTACAGATTTTTTCCCTGTTAAAGGACTTTATATAAGTATATGAGTAAAAACCATTTTTTCCTCTCCTTTTTTTTCTTATTACGGACACTCAGGGTCTTCAACATTTGCACAACAATCGCATCATTCATCGTGATGTCAAGGGGAACAACATTCTGTTAACAACGGAAGGAGGAGTCAAGCTTGTTGACTTTGGTAATCCATCCTTCCTCCCTCCCTCCCTCCCTCCCTCCCTCCCTTCCTTCCTTCCTTCCTTCCTTCCTTCCTTTCCCCCTAGTTCAGAGAATAAACATTTTTTCGTGCATATGAAAAAAAAAAAAGGATATTGCTCTCAAGTAGCCTTCATCACATTTATTCTCTCTTAGCTGAAAACTAAAGTGGTACTCTGGGCCTAAAAACTAACCTTTCATTTAAATTTGCAAGTACAACAGTTATATTTGAGTGTGATTAAAATTGAAAAGCCATTATATAAAACTGGTGACATTATTTCCAAGAAAGATATGCAAGTTGATTCTTTTTTTATAAAGTCAAATAATAATAATTGAAAAAGGAATCACAGGTTAATGCCAATATCACTGTAACAAAAAAAAAATAAGGCTATCATCTTCTTTCAGTGTCACTTGGGAAGAAGCTGGACTAAATTTGCAGGAAAGGGCCAAGTTGCAAACGTTAGCCTGCAATTTGAATAAGTCCATCACAGTCCATCATGGCTTACTAATTCCCTGGTACCACAAAACCAAATGAACTCAAGAACAGATATCTGTAGAGATTCTCAGTCATCCAGGTCATGGTTATCCCAAAGGTGCTTTTTCAGGAAGCAACTGGACTTTCTTGTTTTACTTTTTGAAGATGTTTTGCTTCTCATCCAAGAAGCTTCTTCAACTCTGACAGGATAGATAATCCTTCCATTCCCCACTATCCTGTCAGAGCTGAAGAAGCTTCTTGGATGAGAAGTGAAACATCTTCAAAAAGAAAAACAAGAAAGCCCAGTTGCCTCCTGAAAAAGCATCTTTGGGTCAAGAACAGATGCCACTTGTGACCCGGAGGCCAGAAATTCAATATCAATGTGTACTCAAAATATCCATTTTAAATAGAGCTTGGACAAGCACTTGGACTAAAGTGCTTGTCAACAGCTTCATTACTAACCTCTTTAACAGCAAATGGTAAAGGGTAGAAATCACTATTCATCAGATGCCACCTTCCTAGGGTAATAATTAGCACTAGCTGCTAGAGTGAGCTGCAGGAAATTGGCATCAATGGCAAAAGAAACAATGCCGGTTAGAAAAAAAAAGAAGCTAGAAAGAGAACAACATTAGTAGAGTTAGTTTTTTTTCTGTGTTTTGCACATAATTGCCTTGTTGCATTCCCATAGAGGAACACAAGATCAAAATGAAGCAAGAGTGGGAAGGTATTTGTGAAATTAGCTGTACTTTATTTAGAGAGGAGGTGTATAAAAGAAGCCATGGGGTTGGAAGGAGTTACTGCCTGGTGTGTGGGGGAATATGGTATATATTTATAGCACTTCAACTGTACAAATAGTCATTTATTTTCTAAAATGAAATTTGTGTGCTTTGGAAAACCAATGCTTAAATTGGAATTAAATGCAGTATTCATTGTACAACTATCAGTTAAGTCCACATCTAAAACAAGCGGTCTTTTAGATTTCAGCATGTATGTGTGGAGTATATGGACAGAGCAAAACTGATATGATCTGTCAGTTACTGAAACGATCTATTACGATTTTCCTCTTCTCAGCTTTTGTCAGAGGACCTGGGATTTTGCAGTTTGCTAAATGTTCTGCAAGCTTCTAGTGCCCTCTTTCAAAACTGGTGAAAAGTAATTTAACTCTGTTTTTTTTTAACCTCACATACAGTAACCTATATAGCCTTAGAGAAATGTTTGGAACATGTAATATGAACTTTATCAGTACACAGCAAAGCACATAGCCATTTAAAAAACCAACTAGCCAAGGGTAAATGAGAGAAAATCACTTTCAAATTCCTTCAGCAGAGGTTGAAATTGATCTGCCAATCATCTTCACTCCTACTGACCTTGGAAAGGTGATGAACCAGCAAGCCAATCATTCCTCTCTTTCAACTGATCAATAGGAATCTGTCAAAAAACAATCTCCTATCAACAGTATCTACTAATGAGGCAACTGCAGTACCCACACTGGAGATTTTTTTTCTTTAAAAAAACCCTCCTTTTTACACAAAAAGAATAACAGAATTCAGAGGAACCTTGGAGATCTTCTATTCCAATCCCCTACTCAAACAGGAGACATAATACCATTTTAGCAATGGCTGTCCAGTCCCTTCTTAAAAACCTCCAGTGTTGGAGCACCCACAACTTCTAAAGGCAAATTGTTCAACTGGTTGATTGTTCTTACTGTCAGGAAATTTCTCCTGAGTTCTAGGTTGCTTCTCTCTTTGTTCAGTTTCCATCCATTGCTTCTTGTCTTGTCTTCTGGTGCTTTGGGAAATAGGCTGAACCCTCAAATATTGGAACACTGCTACCTTCTTCTCACTAAACTAGACATACCGAATTCCTACAACTGTTCTTCATATGTTTTAGCCTTCAGACCCTCCCCCAATCTTCTTTGGTGCTCTTCTATGCACTCTTTCCAGAGTCTCAACATCCTTTTTATATTGTGGTGACCAAAGTACCGAAAGAAAATGAAAGACACACTTCTTCAGTAAAACTAAGATGAAGCTGCCTGATATCAAGGCATCATTCGTCTTGTAATGAAGATCCCTTTGAAAGTTGTAAAGGAGACATGATATTTTTTTTATTTGTCAATTGCTTACAAGATAATAGGTATAAGTAAAAACATAGTTATGAATACTTGGATACATATAAGAAAAATAAAAATATGTATAAAAGAAACAATAGGACAGGGACAGTAGGCACATTGGTGTGCTTATGCACACCCCCTACAGACCTCTTAGGAAAGGGGTGAGGTCAATAGTAGACACTCTAAGGTTAAAGTTTTTGGGGTTTGGGGAAGAAACCACAGAGTCAGGTAGAGTATTCCAGACATTGACCACTCTGTTGCTGAAGTCGTATTTCCTGCAATCAAGTTTGGTGCGATTAACCTTGAGTTTGTATCTATTGTTTGCTCTTGTTGTTATGGTTGAAGCTGAAGTATTCATTGACAGGTAGGACATTGCAATGTATGATTTTATATACTATACTTAGATCGGACCGAAGGCAGCATAGTTCTCGGTTTTCAAGGTCTAGAATTTTGAGTCTGGTGGCATAAGGTATTCTGCAATGAGTAGAGGAGTGGAGAACTCTTCTTGTGAAATATTTCTGGACTTTCTCAACTGTGTTAATATCAGATACGTAATGTGGGTTCCAGACTGATGAGCTGTATTCGAGTATTGGTCTAGCAAATGTTTTGTATGCTAGTCTAGTTATTAGTGTAATATTACCAGAGAAAAAGCTACGTAAGATTAGGTTAACAACTCTTAACATCTTTTTGGCTATGTAGTTACAGTGGGCTCTAGCACTTAGGTCATTTGAGATGAGTACTCCAAGATCCTTGACAGAGTTTGGATCATGAACAAGATCTTGACTATTTAGCCTGTATTTTATTTTCTTATTTTTTTTTTTGCCAATATGTAGGACAGAGCATTTATTTGTTGAGATTTGAAGTTGCCATTTGTTTGACCATTCTGATACACAGTCAAGGTCTTTTTGAAGGGTAGCAATATTTTCTGTGGTGTTAAATAGCTTTACATCATCAGCGAAGAGAATGCAGTTGCTCTTGATATGATCACAGAGGTCATTTATGTAGAGTATGAAAAGAGTTAGTCCTAGAACACTGCCTTGGGGGACACCACTGTTGACAGGTACAGAATTTGATAGGACACTCCCAATTTTGACCATTTGTTGTCTGTTTGACAGGAATGCTTCTATCCAGTTATGCAGGTGTCCAGAGATACCGTAAGATTTTAGTCTTAGTAGTAGTTTGTCGTGTACCACTGAATCAAAGGCTTTACAGAAGTCTATGTAGATTACGTCTATTGCTTTGCCCTGATCGAGTTGTGTAGTCCATATGTTTTGCAGTGTAAGAGTTGCAGATTACATGATAGTTTTTTCCTAAAACCAAATTGTTTATTAGAGAGTAGGTTGTTTGTTTCCAAGTGGAGGATGATGGATTGGTTAATACTTGATTCCATGACTTTACAGGTGATGCAGCATAAAGAGATTGATCTGTAATTTTCAACTAGGCTGGGGTCTCCCTTTTTGAAGATGGGGATGACTGTGGCTTGTGACCATAGTTTTGGCAAGGAGCTGATCCTGAAAGATTTTTCAAAGATTATGCTTAGAGGTTTGGCTATGGCAGTGTGTAGCTTTTTAAAGAAGTAGGCACATATTCCGTCCGGTCCAATAGATAGAGATGGTTTTAGATTGCGTAGTGCTTTTTCAACAATGACTTCTGTAAAATCACTATGTGTAGTTGTCTGTGGTTCGACTAGGAAATACTGGGCATGATCCATTGCTGTTTAGAAATACTAAGCCAAAGAATGCGTTAAAGAGGTTGGCTTTAATAGTGTCGTCATTGCAGTCTTTACCATTAGGTCCTTTCAGGGGTGGGATGGACCTTGAGTCTTTTAGTTTGTTGTTTACAAAATTGTAGAAAGCGTGGGTGGAATTGGTGCCGAGAAGGTTTTCTTCTTGTTTAATGTGATAATTGGTGCATTCAGTTTTTATCTGGTGGCATAAATTTTTGTATCGGCTTTTGAAGTTGGCCACGTGACCAGATTTGTTTTTCCACCAAAGTGATTTCTTTTTGGATTGAAACTTCCTTATTGTTTTGGGTAATTTGTTTTGTTCTGGTTTTGGGAGTTGTTAATGGTACATATAGTTTGATGACTCTTTTGACTTCAAGTAAAAATATGTTGTAATGGTCTTCTACAGTATTGCATCCAGAGAATAGAAATTGCCAACCAAGGGATGAGAGATTGTTGTTTATAAGATCATAGTTGCCTTTTTTGAAGTTATAATTGGGGATCCCATCGTTGTGATGATTTTTGTGTGGATGTATGTTGAGACAAAAGTCAATCATGTTGTGGTCACTGTTGGAAAAGGGTTCTTTAATTTGTATTCCATAAATTGAATTCAAACTATTGCAGAAGATGAGATTGAGGCAGTTATTAAGTCTAGTGTTGTTGGTTACTAGTTGTTCTAGTCCCAGATTTGTTACTGCATTGTGGAAGGTTGCATGTTCAGTTGTACATTCGTTAAGGGTCCAGTTAATATGAGGTAAATTGAAGTCACCAAAAAAGATAAAAGCGTGTGGGCAGGATGCTGCCCATGTTAGTAGTGTATGCATGTTCAATGTCATAATTAGGGGCTCTGTAACATAGTGAGATCCGAAATGTGATATTTAAGGACAGTTCACAGACGATGGTCTCACGAATAGCAAGCTCCTGGGTAACTTGGATGTTTTTTAGATGTAGGGATTTTTTATAGAAGATAGCAACACCACCTCCTCTACGGATTTCACGATCTGATCGGTAAACATGATAGTCTCTTACTGTGGTAATGGAGTCAGGGAGAGATGCATTGAGCTATGTTTCACAGACAAATATAATGTTGAATTTAGCCGTATTTAGTAAGAGGAGAAATTCAGGTATTTTATTTACAAGGCTTCCTGCATTGAGTAGCTTGCCTTTAAGGCCAGTTGTGGTTGGAATAGAGGTAGCTAGGGGTGGGCGGGCCTAGTTTTGAGTGATGTTGGATTGGATGGGGTGGGGTTGGATGCGGAGTTGTTGGTTGTGTGACTTTGTTTTGATGCGATCAGCTCTGTAGTCAATGTATAGGTCCTTTTCTCCATTGTCTAGACGGTTTTTGAGTTCTGCGTGGAGTTCACGGGAGCGGATTCTTTGCAGTATGGATAAGTCTGGTCTTGAGCAAAGTTTTTTGTGGTTGGGACTGGTTTTTGCAATGGCATTTATTGTATGAATGAATATGCGTTTGCTGGACTCATTTTTGCATACAACTCTACAAAATCCTGGGGCCATAGAGCCGTCATTGTATTTGTACCCAGGGCCATCTCTGGTTATTTCAATGATATCTTCAGGAGAGATGTTTGTTGTATTTGAGTTGCTTATGATATCACAAACTTTGGTGATGTCATCTGATACGTTGGTGTCTTCGAGACCAAATAAGATGGCATTTGGACGTTTCTGTTCACGTTCCATGGTGTCTCTGATGAGTAAGGAGATATTATTTGTGGAATTATTTGAAGGGATAGTAATTGTTTGTGGCTGTGGTTTGGTGGTTATTTTTGGTTGTAGTTGTGATTGTAGTTGAGGTAGTGGTGGTTGTTGTGGGATTTGATTTTGAGCTGATAGGTGCTCACTTATCTGTGCTGTATTTTTTTTTCCCAAGAGAAATTAGGCTTGCTCGTACAGTTGTTTCCAAAGGTGTTGCTAAGCATTCTTCTATTGAGTGAATGAGTGATTCTATGCTTTCAACTCTGTCAGGTAGGGTACTCAGTTTGTCATCAGTTTCGTAACCAGGTACTAGGTTGTTCCTGCATTAGGACCTTAAATGGAAGAGAGAAATCTAACTTCTTTTAGGCTACTTTTTTTAGGCTAGAAGGACTTGAATGTATTGCAAGGACATTTGCACAATCCTGCTGTTATCTAACTCACTGCAGTAACCTCATCCCCAACTTCAAACAAAAGAAAAGAGATTTTAAACATCCAAACAGCCTGAAGCAATTCCTTATCTAAGAGAAGGAGGCGGGGTGGGGGAGGCTAGTGAATACTCTTGGCTAGATCAAGGCAGCATCCCATGGGAAAAACCTGGTAAAAAGGCTGAAACTCAAGAGCCTAGAGAAAAAGTGAGCAAGAACTTCAATAGGGCTGCTATGCTGTCCAGCCAGTGTATGGGAATTGGATAGTTAGGTGGCAATTGTGAGCTGTCCCCTTAAGGGAATGCATCATGGTAAATATAGTTAAGGTATCCTGGGAAATGTAGTCCATGTCATGTGACCACATCTGTAATCCTAATTGGTCACTAAATTGACCCTCGATGGGTTGGGGGAGTTATCCTCACTCTTGGCTGAACTCATGGACTCGTGGTAATTGTTCTACTTCTTTCGTTACAAGATGGGAGAAAAAGGATAGGAGATAAACCATCTTTTTACCTACAAGACAGATATGCAAAGGATTGGTCATTAAAGAAGAACTTTGTCACAAATGTGAGTTATGAGGATAACTGATGAACCAATAAAAGTACTTTGTTATGGATGTGTTGTGGAGTTTATCTATCTGCATCTGTACAGGATACAGAACAGCTGCTAACCAAGCACAAGGTCTGCAGGGATTTATTTCACAAAGAAAAGAATATGCTGCTGTGTGTCCTCCCCCCCCCCCCCATTTGGGATTCACTGAAGCTGAGCAGAAATAAATTTGGTTCAGCTACTGAACCGAGTCAATGTCACAGGATCATAGAAGCCTGGGGTTGCTTTTGAACTATTGCAGAATCTTCACATGGAAGATGTGTGAGAATTACAGAAAATATAAACATTCAGTCAAATCACCCTCCTCTAAGCGGTTGCTTTTTAATGGATGAATCTTGACCTCCTCCAATTTTCTGGGGAAGACTGTGACCTCCACAACTACAATACAGGTAGTCCTTGACTTACGACCACAATTGAGCCCAAAAGTTATGTTGCCAAGTGAGGCATTTGCTAAATGACTTTTGCTCCATTTTATGACCTTTCTTTCTACAGTTGTTAAAGGAATCGTTGTTAAGTTAGTAACACGGTTGTTAAGCGAATTTGGCTTCTCCATTGACTTTAGTTATCAGAAGGATACAAAAGGTGATCCCCAGACCCTGGGACACTGAAACCCTCATAAATGTGAGTCAGTTGCTAAGCATCTGAATTTTGATCATGTGACCATGGGGATGCTGCAATGGTCATAAGTGTGAAAAAACAGGATGTGAACAGAATAAAAAGGCTGCAACGAGAACTTTGATTGGGTTCCTTAAGTAAAGGATTTTCTTGAGCTACATGGGATTCTTTTAAACTTTTCAGGCTGCAGAATCTGTTAGAAAAGTTTCGTGCACAGTTTTAGTGATAATAAAAAAAAAATTGGCTGTGTTCCACAGAATTTCTTTTTTTCTTTTTCTTTTTGCCTTTATTTCCTCCCAGAATTATAGCAACTTCTTGTGCCTTAATTGATTCTTCAACTATGGAGCAGCAGGCCAGCTCAAAAAACATTTAAGTTAAATTTGCCTAGCTTGCAAATTCTCCCCCAGTTAGTGGGAAAACGTGCAAATCTATTGACACTGTTTTTTCTCTCTCAGGCATTGTATGGAAAAGTAAACAAGCTACGCAGCAAATGTTCAGAATGCCTTTTCTTATTACAGGTGTTTCTGCACAGCTCACCAGTACCAGGCTGAGGAGAAACACTTCAGTTGGGACACCATTTTGGATGGCTCCTGAGGTAGGTTATAACTATAATGTGCTGTGTGTGTTGCTTATCTTGTTTTTTTTAGTCTTGCTAGATGTACTGCCCTAATTCTCTAAATCAGTGGGACGGGGAGGGGGTTAGTTTTTGTTTTTTTTGACAACTTTAAGATCTGTGGATTTCAACTCCCAGAATTCTTCAGCCAGGGAAATCTTAAACTTACCTGTTCTAAATCCTTTGATGACTAGCATTATAGCTGACAGAAATAAAAGTTTAGGACTTCCCTCGATTTATATACTAAAAATGGATAATGGAATAAATCTAGCTTTTTATCTAGAATTGTGATTTTGAAGTGAATCTTATTTATTTATTTGTTCATTTGTTCATTTGTTCATTTGTTCATTCGTTCATTCGTTCATTCGTTCATTCATTCAGTCGTTCAGTCGTTCAGTTGTTCATTCGTTCATTCGTTCAGTCGTTCTTTTAATTTATGGCTTTCTATACTCCATAGTGATTTCATTCAGTCTTTAAATATTTGCTGTTCAGACTGAGGAACATGTTCTATGTTTTCTTCACTTCATTTAATAATGCAATTGGACTTTCAAAGATGGTGATAGCCATAACAGGGCTGCTGATAAAGAAAAGTGAGGGCAGGCATTCACATTTAAAAAGAGATAGGCCTAAGAGGACAGAAGCTTAGAGAGGTACACCAAATGCATTCGGTAGAAGTAGAGTAAATATCAGATGAAAGAAAGAAAACAAAAGTAGAAGTTGGAAAAGTAGAATGGACAAAATAGTTGAAAGGTCTAAAGAGCACTTGGAAAATGAACAGACTTGCTATGACATGAGGAAACCCTGCAACACTTTTGAGGATCTCTTGTGTTATTAATCCTTGTGATCACAATTATTGAAAAACAGTGATGCTGTTTGGATGCCAGGACAGCGTAGATCCTCAAATAGGATCATCACTGGGGAAAAACAGAAGAGAAAGCATACTTCATACAAAAGCCCAAGAAGATCATCAACAAAATCATTTTGTTTTGAGGCTCCAACCACCACAAAGTTGCCCTTCTCAGCATTAACCCATGCCTTGTCCCTTTAAAACAGAAGTGTCTCTACGGAAGAAAAACAAAATTATGAGGAGATGATGCGGTGAATTAGATGTGGGGAGACCTAGCTTCTAGTCTTTCTTTAGGCACTGAAGCCATCTGGGTGACCTTGGGCCAGTCACTTTCTTTCAGCCCTAATCATCATCAGGCTCTGGGACAGAAAGCGAGGAGCAACCTCTCCCCTGCCCTTGCTGCCTCATGCATGGATAAGCTTTAGTATAAGAATTCGGCAAATGCAATGCAGAACAAGCAGGCCCTGCAAAGTATCAAGACAAATGCTAAGACGAACAACTAAAAAGCCCCTCGCGGTATGTATTTTTTAGGGAGCTGGGAGTCCTTCTGTAAAAGACGACGTACTGTAATTATAACAGAGTTCCATACATGCTCTCTAAACGATAACTTGAAATATCAAATGTGTATTTCACATGCTTCTGTCCATTCAGCACCTTTAATTAAGGTGTTTCAAAATATATATTTGAGCAAGGAAAGCTAGCTCCTGACAGAAATTAAAGAACTATGAAACTGCAAATAGAAAGGTCAGTCTTAATATTTAAAATGATTTGTCAATAAACATTGCACTGGATTTATTTGGGGTGTGCCTGAAAGCCTGCTCCACACAGTGCTGCTTTTCCCCTCAGCATCTCTTATCCACTGCTCAGTGACCCTGAACATGGGGCTGAAGGTCAGCCTTAAGTTAATAGCTTTAGGTTTCTTTACTCTCTATTTAGGTAATATTCGTTCTCTTACTGGAATGGTTATTTTATTCTATGCCACAATGCCATTTAAATAAGAGGTAGAGTCTGTTCAGTTTTAGAAAAATAACATCAGTGTTTCTCAACCTTGGGAGACTTTAAAATGCATTGTTGGCTGGGGAATTCTGGGAGTTGAAGTCCACATGTCTTAAAAGTTGCCGAAATTAAGAAACACTGATATTATTTAGACAAAAATCAGGATATAGAATAAAGTTTACTTTTCAGATGTCTCAAAGACATTTGAGAGTTCTCTTGGTATAACTATATTTTTTATAGTTGTGGATAAATTTTATTGGGTCAAGACTAGAGGGTACAGCAATGAAAAAACAAACAAGATGGATGTGTGATTTTATGTGGGTGTTTATATACAGCACATGCTTATTGATACAGAATATATTTTTGCTTTTTTCATAAGTAGTTTTTTTCCAAGTGCAATGATATTAAATTGTAGCACTAGGAACTGTGTTCTTTTGTGGGGTTTTCTACAGTTAAGGATCGTTGAAATATTCTGAAACGTGAATATTTCTGTTACATATTATTTAGGTGCTTTAAGTTTCTAAGTAGGTTTAGGAAGGATGCAAAATGTGGGAATAAATATAGCTAATTTACTTTTTACTTTTATATACTGTACGGTCTTTCCATGCAAAATGGCATTCGAATAAATTAGCATACAGTATAAAAAGATGTAGTTAAAACACAGAATCATATTAAATCATAAAACTAGCACACTTAATTAAAAAGAAAAAAAGAAACAGCGTATGCAGGTTAAATCAGCTCGAAATGAAAAAAAAAAACATCTATCTGACAAAAAAAAACCTCTATCTTCCCCAAACCCCAAAAACTTTAACCTTAGACTGTCTACTATTGACCTCACTCCTTTCCTAAGAGGTCTGTAGGGGGCGTGCATAAGGGCACCAACGTGCCTACCGTCCCTGTCCTATTGTTTCTTTTATTTTTCTTATATGTACCCATTTCATATATTCATAACTATGTATATACTTATACCTATTATCTTGTAAGCAATTGACAAATCAAATAAATAAATAAATGAATGAATAAAATGGTCTTTGCCAACTTCCAAAGGGCATCTTAGATAGCTTCAGTTGGCTTCAGTTATCAGCAAACTTCAGAGATCAATAATGAAAATTGAGAAAGTTAATCTTTCATAGTGCCAATAAGTATCTGTCCTATGGTGACAAGTTACAAAGAAGAATCTTAAGTATCTGGAGACTCGTATGATTTATTATGATGTACACAACAATGTGAAATCATACCTGCCAATTCTTTAGCTGGGGTTGGCACTGAGTTCTTCTCAAGAACTTAGGACGTCATTATATATCGGCGTAGTATATATGTGCAGTCCAAGCAGTGTGACTTTTTGTAATTAACAGATGGAATTTTGTCAATTGTAGATTTTCTAAGTGCTGTCCAAGATTTTTTGGAGTATGGCATCCTGTGTGATAATAACGACCGAGACCATTATAGCCCATTTATGACATAACTTTTCAACTTCACTTTTCAGATATTGACTCTTCATAGTCTTCTCCAATTCTTCTATTCTACTGTCCCCTGGTATTCCCACATTACTATCACTTTATTTTTTTCAACCACAGTTAAATCTGGTGTGTTATGAGCCAAGATGTATCAGTTTGAATTCAGAAATCCCACAATATTTTAACCTGCTCATTTTTTACTACTTTTTCAATTCTATTAGTTTATTGCACAAGCTAAATATATGTTCTACTATTTCCTCTGCTTCTTTGTACAATCTGCCCAGTGATGGGATTCAAAAAATTTTTACTACTAGTTCTGTGGGCATGGCTTGATGGCGTGGCAGGGGAAGGATACTGTAAAATCTCTATTCCCACCCCACTCCAGGGGAAGGATACTGTAAAATCTCCATTCCCTCCGCATTCCTGGGGGAAGGTTACTGCAAAATCCCATTCCCTCCCCACCCCACTAACCTGATTTCTAGCTCTGTTCTCCTGTGCAGGGCAACTAAAGAAGACCCAGTCGAACAGCTGGGACTTGGGAGGCAGAGAATAGATGGGGCCAGTCAGAGGTAGTATTTGCCAGTTCTCCAAACTATTCAAAATTTTCACTACTGGTTCTCCAGAACTGGTCAGAATCTGCTGAATATCACCTCTGCATCTGCCCTTTGAATCATTTGATAATTTTTCAGTTCTGGCCTTGATTGCTTCAAATGAAATAGCTTGTTCTTATGCAGCCAAAATCAAGCCTTCAGTTTCTTCTTTTAATGTTCCAATTATAATTGGAATATAAGCCATTGATCGGTTTTTACCTTTATCCATTTTCCCCTTGATCTTTTGTAGAAATTGATGATGTAATTCTTTTTCTTGCCAGCATTCTATTTGTGGTTTTATTTTATTACATTATTTTGATAGTCATGATCTGCTTTCTTTACATTCAGTAACTTTCTATTTTTAACTTGCATCAATGCTTGTTCTTGGCTGTCTTTTACTCAGCCAATGCATGCTTCTTTTCCTCAACAGTAAACCTCTGACTCCTTTCTGTAGGGATTTCTATAATCTATCAATATCACTATGGGGATACCATGTATAGTGAATAGTCATAAGTTTTTCTTCTCTCTTTTTGGTCCAACTGTCCAGTTCAGTTTTGTCCAGTTAATACTATAGTTCCAGCCATGTATTGTATCACAGGTAGAGCCCAAGTATTGGTAACTTTAACGGATAGTTTCCAATGTTCAATTTTGTCTTTAGCATTTTTCTCTCTCTTTAGATGTATTCATACTCTTATTCTTGTGGGTTGCTCAGTCAGATGGATGGATTTGACATTTTTTGTTCATCTGTTGAGTCCTTCCCAAAGTTGGTATTCAATCATATTAAATGTATTGTTGTGGGATGTAAGGTGTTCCAAATAAAGCTGCCTTTTACAATTGACTGATGATGTTCAAGTATGCTCCAGATATTTTGGAATTTCATCCAAGGCTCACTAACACTATGAGGAGGAACCTTTGGTCTCCAACTCTTGCTCAATCTTCTACCTTACAGGGCTGACAGAGAGTCACTCGCTCAAATTTTCCAAGCTTGAGTATGGACTTGATCCTGGTTCTTTTCAGTTCTGTTTAACATCTTAACCATTACACTGGGTCAAACTCAATAAATCAGGATCATTCATTACCGGCAGTCTCAACATAATTTTTTTTAAATGTCACCTCTATCCTAGGGGTGGGATTCAAATTTTTAACAATGTGGGAGTGGTTTAGGTGGTGGGCGTGGCTTGGTGGTCATGTTATTGGCTGGGTGTGGCCAACTCAATATCACTCACATCGAGCCACGCATCTCCTTGCCTGGCCTCTCATGACTGTGGGGATGCTGCAACAGTCGTAAGTGTGAAAAATGGTTCATAAGTCACTTTTTTCAGTGCCATTGTAACTTTGAATGGTCACTCCACACAAGCAAAGTACCAGCAAAGGAAGAGGAAAAAACTCCAGAGAAGTTCCTGAGACAGGAAGTCTAGTCCTGTCAAGAATGTAATAAGGGTTAACAGAGAGGCAGTTTCTGTAAGCAACACCAGCATGTTTCCTTCCTGCCTTCCTTACAGGATTAGGCCAGTAATTTCTTCTAACAACCGGTTCTCCAAACTGCTTAGAATGTTAACAACCAGTTTTAGCAAATAGATGCCAACTGGTAGAATCCCACCCCTGCTCTATCCATGAAAAATTGCCAGCCATCTCCACTGTACTGTAACCTGAACTTTCTTGAACTTCCATCCAGCATTCCACATACCATTGACCCACACTTTCAAATATCATAGCTGCAAGAAGTGTCTAGGTAGGCTGTAGCTCCATTCAGCAAAGGTTATCCTGAATGCACATTCTATGATGAAAGAAATTGGGATCAGTCACGCATTGGCATTGTAGAGCAAATGGCCTCATCCAGCTAAATATTTTCTTTTCCTTTGGCTTCTTTTGGGTTTTTTTCAATTTCCCAGTCTAGCCTACAGGTATCCTGGTGATCCCTAATCCAAGTACCAAATGGAATTGATCCTGCACATCATTTTCAGATCAGCCAGGATGGCAACTAAGGAGAGGCCTCTCCCCATCCCCTATTTACTTCCCAGATTAAACACCGTATGTTTCTAATTAGAGTTTGAAAACAAAGCACGTTGTAGTTTCTCTCCAACTTTTAATATTAAATTTGATGTCAAGCACCCTGGAAATTTTTTATGGGAAAGCAAAAGACAGCATCTCTTCAGTCACTCAGATAAGTTCGACAGCATCCTGGAATTGATAGAATAGAATAGAATAGAATAGAATAGAATAGAATAGAATAGAATAGAATAGAATAGAATAGAATAGAATAGAATAGAATAGAATAGAATAGAATTCTTTATTGGCCAAGTGTGATTGGACACACAAGGAAATTGTCTTGGTGCATAAGTTCTCAGTGTACATAAAAGAAAAGATACAAACTAGAAATATGAAGATAGTTTTACTACTATAGTCTTTTAGAACATTTATTAACAACTTCCATTTTTCCTACTATAGTTGAGAAAATATATAGAATATTCCCTTGGTGCTATGAGTAAATGAAATTAAATGGATGAAAATCAAATGTTTTTGATAAAGCTTTGCATCTGGTTACTTTGGCTAGCTGTGCTGCTTTTTTTAATATAAGGATAATAATTTAATATTGATCCCCCCCCCCCATAATATGCACAGCACATTATAATGTATGCCAATTCATTTTTCCTTTAAGCTGCCGAATCTCATCAGCTACTTGACTATTAACCTCATGAATGCAGAACTCTTTCCCTCAGAAGGCATTGCTTTTTGCACCCCCAGCTTCCTTCCAGTGGACTGGCTCACATAGAACAAACCTCCTGTTCCCTAGTCATAGCATTCCACCTTTCATATCTGTAGGCCTACAGAAAGTGGGATGTATATTCTTTGCCTTCTAGAGCCCAAGCCACATCTTTATGATTTGATACACTGCAAAATATTTGAAGGATCATTTGTGCCATCGTGTGTCTGTCTGCACTTTGGAACTATCCTCCTTGAGATTTGGACCATGCAAAGTACTTATACCTTCTCCATTATGGGCTGCCTGCACCAATCTCTTTTTGTTTTTGTATCAATCTACATGCTAATTTCCAATTCTCCCTCATCATTAACCATCAGTCCATGTAAGCCTCATTTCCATTGCCATGACAGTATTATAAGATGTGTATATTACACACATCAATATTATATGACTTTTTGGTCTTACATTACATTACTGAAAGTGGTGTCGAAAAGTAAAATGTTGATTCCTGTAACCAAACTGGTAGAGTTTTAATAGATTAGGGTTATTACAATTTGTTGTACAGATAAACCAGCTTTTCCTAAGCAAAATTGTGAGGCCTTTTCCCCATTTACATCTAGCCATCTAACCACTTCTGTGGGACATGGGTGGATAAGAAGCATACAAAATAAATAAAAACCATGACCCCGAGAACGTCTTTTCAGTGCCAGATCCCCATCACTGCCTTTATCTCATCCCAGTTCAGAGTAAGACAGGTTGTCCTAGAATGTATCAGTGCTAAAATTAGCACTTCCACCCTTATTCAAAAACCATCCAAGGGCAATCTAAAGGTGTATAACATTTGTCAGGCTTCATCGCCTATTACCCTGTTTTTCCCCCAAAATAAGACCCAACTGGAAAATAAGCCCTAACATGATTTTTCAGGATATTCATAATATAAGCTCTACCCCAAAAATAAACTCCAAAAATAAACTCCAAAAATTAATATAAGACCAGGTCTTATTTTTGGGGTATCTTTCATGGCTGCAAGGACCTAACCCTAACCCTAACCTGAACCACAAGCAGTAGAGATAAAATAGGGATCGGCTATGGGACAGCAAATGTCATATTGATGTAGATTTCTGTTCAGGTCAAGGTTGGGTGGAAAGTCACGATAATCCTGGTATTCACTGAAGGCATAACTGAATTATGACTTGTGATTTTGTTAAAAAAAAAAAAACCTCTTGATCCCTCTGAACCTTAAATAGCCCCAACTCAGCAGACCTATCTCAATCACTCCTGAGTCTTGGGAAGTATTTTTTTTCTCTATGTATCTCTCCATTTCTTTCAAAGCATCTCCTCCTGAGACATGTCCAGGATGATAACTGCTACATTAACGATTGCCTTTTCTAAATTGGTGGAGTGTTTGTTGAGACAGCTCTTCAATGCAAAGTGCTGACTTAGCCATTTCCCCCCCTTTTTTTCTCCCAAAACTGGAAGTCTTTTAAGCTGTGCATATACTCATTTGTTTATGGCTCAATTAATTAATTAGATTTGCTGTCCACTGTCTCTTTCTTATAGATTGTCCTCATTGTGTTTATCAGTCATACATGCTACTAGTGAACTGAAGTTTCTGTCTATAAATTAGATTTATGTTTTCCCCAAGTCATAAAAAGGAAACATCAAGAACAATCTTGAAATTTATAGAAGTACACTTAACTTAATAATATATTTATGGATGGGGAAATCCCTGAAATAGCTTCCCCTGTAGGCAGAAAATGAGGTGTGACTATTGGGAGAAAATGTGGTTAGCCACAAGAGGGTTATATAATGACATAGTCTGAAGAAGAGGAAGTCTCAATGGTTGGAATAGAATTTGATTTTGTTGTGAATCCCATTTGCTAATGTTGAATTGGAAGCCATAATTGTATGCTGCACCATGTGCCCTTTTCTATTTCTTTTTGACTGATAACATTATGTGAGCTGAATATGTTTCTCAACTTTATTGCCTATCTACATCCATAGTTACAAAGGTCATTTCTTCTAGGACATTCCACTTTAACACTCTCTTAGTGGTACAATAAGTTCCATCTGTATTGTGACTTCTTGAAATAATCTCAGTGATGTTAGAAAGAAGAGCCAAAATATAGAAACAAGGGCTATACCCTATTTTGCCTTCTCAATTATGAGCATGGATATACTTTTCTCAGCTTAATTGTCCATACCATGGCTGAAATGAAGTATGATTCACAAAAGTTCAATATCCTAATAAGTATGTTCATCTTCAAGATGCCATGGTTTTTTGGTCTTTTGTTGGTAATCAATTATTATAAGAGTTTACTAAAGCTAGGATGATAATGATGATGATAATAATAATAATAACCACAATAATAACCATAATAATAACCATAATAATCACCATAATAATAATCACCATAATAATAACAACAATACTCCAACAAAACTGCTACAGAACTAGCACCTGTGATCTCACAATTTTGTGAACATAACAGTAATAAATACTTATAGAAAAGCTGCACTTTCCTTATCCTTTACATACATATAAGTTATAGGAATAGAAGATAATGCTGCTTAAAGTTGGAAATGTAATGAATAACTACAGAACTTATTTCAATTGCTATAATCTCTTGTAATGTTCAGCATCATGAATTTAATTTCCTGAACTGCCTTCTGTGGGTAATATTAAATAGTAGGACTTCTAGTTGAGCATTTAAGTTGTAACTATAATAAGAAATATATGAATGGACACTGGTTATAAGGCATAAGTGGGTATGTGTATAATTTTACTTAATGGGGACATTACTGTCTCAGAGGTTAATGTGGTGTGTTCATTGTCTTTTATCTAACAGGTTATTGCTTGTGAACAACAGTATGACTATTCTTATGATGCCCGTTGTGATGTGTGGTCTCTTGGGATCACGGCTATTGAGCTTGGTGATGGAGATCCACCTTTGTTTGACATGCATCCTGTGAAGACCCTTTTTAAAATCCCAAGGTAGGGCACTAGGTGTCTCTCTTGGCTTACTGGATCTTTCTTGCACTGACAACAGCAATTCAACAGTGAAAATACCTATTTGGTGCATCATTACATCTTACATTACGTTAATTGAAAGATATGTAGCAATAAACGTTACTGTTGAGAAGGTCTGAATATAAGCAGCAAGATATTTTAGAAAAAGAATATTCAGATTTTTACTATAGAAGGTTTTTTTTTTAAAATGATTTACTTATTTAGCTTTTGTAAACCACTTTCCATTTCAAAAATAATTTGTTTCCAAACAAGGGCTGATTATAGTCTAAAAATACAATGCTTTAATGGGCTATTTCTGAAAGAAGAATGTTTGAATGGTTCAAATAGAAGCTTTTTAAGTATGCCGGATCTGCAGCATCTATTTTCTTTCTTTTATTTTCAGACAAAAAATAAGATATTATTTCTAAGCATACTTGAAAGTACAAGGAACCTACACTTCCTTCCACAAGATTTGTTTGGTCTGTTTCTCCTAGCAGGAAGCAAAAGACAGGGGATTTCAACTGTGAAGTATGAATTAATTGCCGGACATTTATAATAAATAGGCTTTCTGAAACATTTGCTTTAAACTGATTGTCAGTTTGGAATAGCCTGCCACTTCTGTGTTCCACTTTCAGAAGAAAAGATACCCACCGGCAATTAGAAAATTAAAACCTTAGACAATGGGAATATTTGACCCTTTCTTATCTATACAATCACACAATTATCATGGGGCTTTTTACCGGGTTCTCCCAATTGCTATTTGCATTTCTGATTAAGTCTATTTATATGTAGATGAAGCTTTCCAACATTCTGCACAGTATTATCTCTGTCCCACAACTGGGTCCAAGAGCTGCTTTCAGAGATTATTCAAACTTAAACAGCAATTCATTTAAAAAAAAAAATTGCCCTGTAGAACGCACAGCAGTAATTAAAGTGAGGGAGAGTTCAAATATGTAAACTAACGCCCATACATTTTTATCAGATAGAAGTTGAAAATGGCTTGAAAGAACAATAGTCTTGATGGAGTATGCCAAATATCAGCAGGTCAAAGAAAGGTGTATGGAAAGGGCATGTGAATTTTTTCCTTCCAGGCCATGATGTATCTCATTCTTTCCATGAGTGCTTTAGTTCACATGCCAAAATAATACTTTCTATACTTCTTACATGAGACAAAACACTACACTTACCAAGAAAGCTCCTTAAATGGCTGTCTTTAAAAAAAAATAAAAAAATAAAATCCAAATTCTTTTACATGAGAAAAATGTATAGCTCAATCAGGAATATTCATAGAAGTCACAAAAGAAACTGGAAAAGATCCTTGTATATGAGTATATCAAAGAAGAAATTACCAAATTACCAAAACATTGTGCTAATTTCTTACAAATGTTTTTCTTGAGGCTTACCAGGAAGTATAGAGCCATACATTGATAGACAAATGCAAAATGAATGGACAGCTTTGAGAAAAGTCAGGAGAACATGAGATTACATAGCTAATATAAAATGGATTTATTTATCAGATTTCTAAGATTACCGTTAACAATTCTGGTGGATTTCGGTATTAAAAACAGTTCAGTATAGCATATAGAATAAAAATAAGTAAACATCCAGAAAAAAAAAAACTATAAAAACAGAACCTGAACACAAAAAAAATTCCAGAAGAAGTTCACAATAACCTGAGTCCAAGGCTTGGGAGAAGAGCCAGGTTTTTGAAGCCCATTTCCATGAGATTATTTTTTATTGTATTTATTTTATCTTATTTGTTGGTCAAACATGTACAAGGTAACAAGTATACGTATGAACATAAACAAGAACAAAGGGAGTAAATATAGATAAATGGGTACAGTAAGACAGGGACGGTAGACACGCTGGTGTGCTTATGCGCGCCCCCTTTAAGGACCTCTTAGGAATGGGGTGAGATCCACGGTAGACAGTTTGAGGTTGAAGCTGTGAGGGGTTGAGATTAGGGAAACACTCATGCAGATCTTTCCAGAGAACAGTCATTGTGGCAAAAGAAGATCTTCTTCCTGGCTCTTTTCAGATGGTATTGTTTAATTAGTGGATTTCAAAGAATTCCAAGTCTGTCAAAAATTACAGGACAAACAGAAACGATTCCTCAGGTAGCTAGGTCCCATTCCAAGAAAAGCTTTATAGGTGATTATTAACACTTTCAATAGTACCCAAAAATTCTACTCAGGAGTTGCACAGTTACTGCCCATGCTGCCACACTTTGGTTAGCTGCACCTTCTAAATGATCTTCAAAGGCAGACCCATATAGAAGACAATGAGGTAACTAGAATAGAATAGAATTCTTTATTGGTCAAGTGTGACTGGACACACAAGGATTTGTCTTGGTGCAAATGGTCTCAGTGTACATAAAAGAAAAGACACATTCATCAAGAGTCAAGAATCATCAGGTACCACACTTAATAATAGTCAGAGGGTACAATAAGCAATCAAATCATACTAGGAAACAGTCAATATAAATTGTAAGGATACAAGCAATGAAGTTACAGTCATATAGTCACAAGTGGGAGGGGATGGGCAATAAGGAATGATGAGAGGATTAATAGTAATAGTACTGCAGACTTTGTAAATAGTTGGACAGTATTGAGGGAATTATTTATTTAGCAGAGTGATGGCATTCGGGAAAAAACTCTCCTTGTGTCCAGTTGTTCTGGTGTGCAGTGCTCTATAGCGTAGTTTTGAGGGAAGGAGTTGAAACAGTTTATGTCTGGGATGTGAGGGGTCTGTAAATATTTTCACAGCCTTCTTTTTGACTTGTGCAGTACACAGGTCCTCAATTGAAGGCAGGTTGGTAGCCATTGTTTTTTCTGCAGTTCTAATTAACTGTTGAAGTCTGTGTCTGTCTTGTTGGGTTGCAGAACCAAACCAGACAGTTATAGAGGTGCAGATGACAGACTCAATAATTAAAAAAAAAACCCTAAGGTGTAAGTAATTGCCCAAAGGTCTTCTCAGTCCGGGAATGGGTTCAAGCAGCATAAAATGAATGTGTGCAAAGGTTTTCCTGACCATAGGAATACTGCAATCCCATTCAAAACTAAAGATAGAAAACTTTTTGGATTGAATAATCCCATAGCTACCTGGGTTTGTTAAGGCTGAGCCTAAATCTTTCTTCTGCATCCAGGCTCCTACAGGCTTCAGACTCTGGGACAAGGCTTTGATTTGATTCGCTTGGTCAGACAAGGTGTAATCAGGGTGTAATCAGCTACTGGGTGTAATCAGCATAGTAGTAATACTGGGTGTAATCAGCATAGTAGTACTGGGTGTAATCTGGGTGTAATCAGCATAGTAGTAATAACACATGACCACAAACTGGGTGTAATCAGCATAGTGGGGTGTAATCTACTGGGTGTAATCAGCATAGTAGTAATAACACATGACCACAAAATCATTATGACCTTGCCTAGCATCATCAGCTTTGTGTAGATGTTGTGTAGAAGAAGCAAAAGCTCTGTGGTGCTCCACAAATCAAAAGCTTTGGGTTCATTCTTTCCCACTTATTAGCAATGACTCAAACAAACAACAGAAAAAGGAGAAGAATAACCCCAGTGCCATGCCCTCCTCTCTTAATTCCTGTAAGCAATCCAGAAAGATACCATGATTGTTGCTAATGAAAGCTGCTAATGGATCAAGAAGAGCCAAGATGGCTGCTGCACTCCTATCTTGATTTTACAAGAGCTTATCAACCAGCACAATCCGTTCTATCTCAGTTCTCTGCCCTGATCTGAAACCAGACTGAACAGGGTCTACTCTTATTACTATTATTTATTTAAGTTTGTAGTAGACACCCAACTCTAAGAGACTCTGGGTTATAAAACTAAACAAACTAGCAAAACCAATTGTAACACAGACAGTGCAGACTAAATGAAACATAATACAACAAGAAATCACAGTGGCCTCAAAAATGCATTAACCTGAAGTTTAAGAGCTTTCTGGAACCCCAGAGGAGAAGGTGCTGTCCCTATATTGGGCAAGGATTCTGTTCTAGAGGTGGAGGCTATGACAGAGAAGGCATGCTTTCTTGATGCCGTAAACTTGGAGCGTATCCACTCTAATGGAATGTGCTAAGTAGTCACAGACAGGCGGTCACATAGAGACATCCAGGCTCTATGCCATGCCTAGATTAATTGGCTATTAAGCTGTTTCCTTCAAGGCCCGCTGAAATCACCACAAGACCGTCTTCTCAATACCTTTTCCTAGAAAGCCCTTCTTGGAATGTCAGGACAGTAGGACTAAAACATCTTAGTGATTTGCTACAACTTGGTTTTTTTAAAAAGTTAAAAGTTGCCTAGGAACAGCCTGACCTTCCCTGCTGTAACAATTGGTATTTCTCAGTTAAGCTGCACACGCCTTCTACTTTAGCAATTGTTTGTTAGCCCAGATATCTGAATAGATGGAAAAGGGCTCAAAAGGAGCATTTTGACTCTGGGCCAAACCGTATGTGACATTAATTCCATGGTTTTGCCCTTGAGCATGAATAGCCAGTGCTGAGATCCAATCTTAACTCTTTTGCCACCATGACAGGACATTTGTATATTGCTGTAATTATTGTTACGGAGTGCCAAACTGAGCAGCATTTTATCTGGAAACAGATGAAGTCAGTTGAGTTCAGTAACAGGACAGGCAACATTATGAAGTATTGATTTGCTGTACTTGACTCATTTTTGCAGAACATTATTTTTTTTTTTCTTTTCTTTTCCTATTATTTTGACTTCATTAATTCTGCCTCGTTGTTTTAGCTGACTGGGCTGAACTGCCTCCTAATTGAGGGACTCTAAATGATGCTCCTAAGAAAAGGAGGTGGGCTCCTTGTTTTCAGGATCCTCTCTACCATTTTCTGTCAACGATAGTTGGAAGTCATGTTTACTTTTGTACCTCTTAACAGCTTGCATAAAGGTTTTCATATTCCCAGATGAAACAAGGTTCAGTTCTTTATAAAAATAGTTTGATAAAGCCCCTTTAGA